TTTTCTGTGTATGTGAGAGGTAAAACTAGTGAACATGAGAGCATTTTCTGTGTATGTGAGAGATAAAACTAGTGAACGTGAGAGCATTTTCTGTGTATGTGAGAGGTAAAACTAGTGAATGTGAGAGCATTTTGTGTATGTGAGAGGTAAAACTAGTGAATGTGAGAGCATTTTGTGTATGCGAGAGATAAAATGGAGAGTGTGAGAGCATTTTGTGTGTAAGTGAGAGCAATTTGTGTGTATGAGAGGTAAAGTTTGAATAATGGCCTAAACAGCACCTCATAGAAAAGGAATGTGTTCTTTCAATTCAAAGCTTGCAGAGACTTAATTTAACATTCCAGATCTCTTGTTCAAATTCAAATGCAAAATCATCAAAATATGACAGAAAAGGGACTTTAATCTATTTGATTTCTTTGAGGCATCTCTTTTCAGAAAACAAACAAACACAGGGTTTTATTTCTTGTAAAAAAGTACATTAGGTGATGTGATTGCGGCTTTAGTTTGGAGTACTTTTATAATAGTGCAGGTGGGAAGCCATTGAAGATGCTATAATTTAAAGAATGGTACTCTATATCACAAATAATAATCCAAGGAGAAATAACAATAGTAAATGGTACAAAATAAATAAAAGGACTTAGAAAACAAAGTAGCAACTTGATACAAATGAAATAAAATACTCTTGAAGTACTGTTCTGTTGTGAGAAATACAGTAGCTTGCAACATTTACCCTTCAATGTACAGTATTTAGAAGGAAATGTATATATATATTAAACTTCAGCCATATGAAATAAGAGTAAAGAAAACAGTTTCTGTATAGTAATATAGAAAATATATAGTTATAGACATAGTTATACACAGGAAAGCTCCAACTTGTCTGAGAAAATAAAAGTTAAATGACTACCACAAAAAAAGAATTTAGGACTACTACATACAATTTGCTCTTTAGCTATATTTACTTACACTTTGCTTAAAATCACATTTTAGTAATTCATGGTTTTATTGCAGCAAATGCTATATTAAAGTTGTCTTATTAAATACATTGAATTCACCAAAGGATTTACAGTCTTATAAACAAAATATGCCTCTATATGATCTGCCCTTTTCATGACGCAGGCTGAATTTCTTAAGACACACTTTAAGTGACTTTAAACAAAACCTTTTGTAAGAGCTACATATTTGACCTTTGAAATGCAGGATAAAGTTATGCTTTGTTATTTCAAGATGTGACCTAACATTTTTCATGTACAACATGAAAGCTACAAAATGTCCTTAAACCAATAAAAATAAAAAATCCTGACAATTGAAATTTATGTTCTCAATAACCTACAGCTCATTTTGCTGCATAACTAATGTACACCTGCATATCATGTGAAGGCGAGCATCAGAAATAAGGGACAATTTAATGAGCCATAAAATTTGGATATATTAGGAAAACCTCTGAAAAAAGAGAAACATAAAATTAACAAATTAATATTGCATGTTTGTGAGAGAACATTTTCAATAATGTACACGGAGTACACTTCCATTAATGGGCAGTATAATGAGCCCGAGAAAGTAATTATGTAAATCACAAACAACAACATCATGACTAAAATACAACGTCAACAATGTAGCAATTAATTCAAGAAACTAACAAGGGATGTATATATGCTTGTATTTTTCTTAGGAGGACAAAATGTTATCAATTTGAAATTTAAATTGTAAGAACATTGCTTAAAGCCTCTGCTCAATCACAGACCTACTACTCTGCATCTAACTGAGACTGATGATTATTTTACAAAGAATTCAAGACACTGCATCATACCTCTTCATAGTACAACACCAAATATATACACTGAGCGTCACTTATAACTGCACTAAATTCAAAATGTTTTCAGGAAAATGCGACAGTGCGACTGAAGTGTCATGGCAAGGGCATCCACAGCATAGCTGGCACATTCTAATGTTGCAAAAAACCTGTTTTTACACGAGCAGCATGAGGAAGTGTGTTGTCCTACTGGCATACAGTATCACCACATCAGGATAAGCCCACAGGAAGGGCAGCAGGTAAGCTCTCAGGAGTAGTTCAATGCAACTCCATGTACTCAACTTGTCTTTAATCACTACAAGTGGAGTTCTGTGGCAAATAGTTGCTACTGCACAGAGTACTACACTTGGATTTCCCCATCGACTGGTTTGTTGCACAACAACGAGTACAATGTTCTGCACATCTGTGCCACACTCATTGACATCCATTAGGGTGGTCTACACAAAAATGGACTCAGAGTTTTAGTCCACCTGAGGAGATTTAGTCCATCCGAATGGTACAAAGGTGTTTTCCTGATAAGTAGGGCATAATGACTACTATCTGTATTTTTCTCCTTCCACCTGATTTTCACCAGGTATGACATTCAACTGGTTAAATCACCTCATCACTCATGTGTCCAATTAACTCCTTTACAACTGCCATGATTTAGTACTTATGCAACAATTACTCAAGAGTATCACATTGTCATGAAGAGAAAATAATCCAAATTCTGCTAAAATGTATGTTTAATGAATATCTGACTTCTGTATTCTTTTTTCTTATAAATCATAAAAAACAGAACATTTACATTTCATTCTAAGTATATGCAGTATTTTCCTATTAAGACAAAATCCCTGACATTACTGACAAAAGTTCTTATATTATTACAACTGCTTTGTATTAACAAAACAGTTATTTGGTTATATATAAAAAGACAAATAGTTTGTTAAGAAACAATAAAACAGTGGTCTCCAGCTTCTGGGATGGACAGTTCCAGTCCTTCATACTCTATACAGATACAGTATTTAATCAGTGGCTATAGATCAATCTTGTTTAATTAAGTCAATAATTGTTAAATTGAGCAATTAAAATATGACAAATAAAAATCAATACACATTGGATATAGACTCTAATGTCTCAGGCATAAAAAAGCACACCACTAGGTAAGTAAGAACAAATAGTTCAGCTTTCAAATATCTCAGCCCTTATTATTAATGAGAAGATTTGAATAAGTGATCAAAGTGTTGATAGCTATCTCATCCATTTATAAAACCTAGCAGACCTACTGCAATCTTAAAAAATGGAGCACTCCTTTTCACATGCAGACTGGAAATTACAGGTCAGGTGCATATTTATTCCCAATTACCATTTACTTTTATAAATACTGCTTGATTTTTCTATTTAAACTGGATATATAGCCATGGCATTTTGGTCTAGTTACATTATTACTACACAATGATCACAACAACAATCATTTTTAGTCAAAATAAAATTTCACCAATAACGTCAATATCATTACCTATGCTTTCAAGTGCAGTGCTTAGTACTTATCAAACAGTTAAGTTTCTGTGATCCCCAGAAGGAACTTTTCTATTTTAAAACTTGTCCACCTGAGACTCTCCATACAAAAAATACAACAAAGTTTTAATAGGGCAGTAAAAGCTCACAGAGAGAGAATTACCTAAGGTTATTGATTGTTATTTAGCTCTAATGAGCCCAAGTCAAAGTCAATAATCTGTTTCAAATTCTAGTGCAGCACAACTCTTTCAGGGTCATAACAAGAAAATAAATATTTTACTCCAGATTTTAATTTTGTTCTAATCCACAAAAAAAACTTCAGCTTCTTAAAATGGATATTGCTTAGTGACCTGCCTCCTTTTTTCAAAACACGTCTGTTGTCAGGGAATATTACTGATATGTTTCAGTGAAGTATTGATAAGTATTTTTTACTCTACTATTCTTTGTGACTTTTGTATGATCTGTATGACTTTTCTCATATACATAGAAATTAGGCTATTGTGGTTATTTCTGTGGATGTGCCATACATGACAGGCAAGTCACAGAGCTACGACAGCTATGATTTAAATCAATGAAGCCTTAGACACATGGCCTGCCTTATTCATAATGTGGCTCTCAGTTTAATGAGGTGTGACACTGGGAACACCACAGAAGTTCTTTTAATGGCCTTCGTTTTGAATAAAACAGAAGCTGAACATCATAAACCTGCCCTATAATGTGATTTGCTCTTTGATCAATATTCTAAGTCTATCAATTTCACTAAAGCTGTGTCAGCCTAAATCTACAGCTAAAAAACATTTTTTTAAAAAACTAATAAGCTAAAGCTTCATGGACCATGCTAATTTGAAAGAAGGCAGCTGAGTGCTGGGTGTCTTTACAAACATTTGGAAACTGTTGAATGATTACTTTAAAGGACAACACTCTAATTGTTAATAGATTCACTCTGTGTTTCATGTTGTGCTATTAGGGACCCTGTTATGCTTATTTTACTGAAATGAAAAAAAAATGTAACAAACACCTTAAGTTTCTTAAAGTCATTGACCACGTTTGCTCTCAGCAATGTGTGTTTCCAATATATTTTTCAGATATGTTTTCATTCAGACTTTCAAGTTCAGACTTTTCCACATCAATCTGTAGGTAATGCTTAAAACATGACTGCATTTCTCTGCATTACCAACAGAAAAAAAGAGAAAATTACTCAAATAGAATTTCAAAGGAATATTTAGTTACATATTAATATGTATTTTTGTTTAATTTTTTGTTTAATCCTGGCCTTGATCTAACTTTCAGCATTTATTCTACGGTCTACTTAGGTACAACCTGTGTATTTGTAAATTACTATTTCTTGTATGAATCCTGTATGATTGTGCATTAGCAGCCTCTGAATTTATTTTCCCTTGCGTGAAATTTAGGTAGTACCAATTACTACAAACAGCTTTGCAAATTTCTTAATCATACAGCAAAATTCTTATCTGTGCTAAAGAATTGACAATACACTGGGTTCAAATCTTTCAGATGTACAGCTTCTGAAACAATTTTGCCCAAATTGTTTAAACATTAATAGTTACCTATTTGCCACCAATATTAGATAATACAAATATTATTTTTTAAACAAGTGAATGATTTAAACAAAATCTCACCACTTTTTACATTAAAACAAATCTTTCAATCATACCCCCAAATGCAAACATCATACCTTTTTTGGGCTGTTTCTTGTTGCTCCTCCACCGAAGTGTAATCTTTTTGAGCTGCAAATAAAAAAAAGTACTTAACTTACTTAACACCCAAAATGACGAAGCTCAAATCATACTCTACTAGGTGTTAGAAAAAGGCAACACATTGGAGTGGAAAAGAAAAATGCAAGATGGTTGATTTTTTGTTCAGGTGAGCTAATCAAGCTAGAGTTTCATAAAAACTATGGTCTCATTAGCAATCTATGTAAAAAAAGTTACAAAGACCATACAAATGACGCACACATAGCACACATATATATTCCCTTATAAGCATTTTAAAAAAGAAGCATAGAGTATTTTACTTAAGTATTGTGTTTTTTGGATACTGATTTCTACTCAAGTAAATTGGTTTGGATGAGATGGTACATTTACTCAACTTTAGTTCCCAGAAGCATCTTTTTCCTTGTTCCACCTGGGATATTTACAAGAGCCAGGATTCTGGTTGGGTAAAGCAGAGGTGCATGTGCAAAGTGTCTGCAAGCGCAACAACAGACCTTGTTGTTTTTAAACGGACCATTCAGCAAACACAATAATTCAGGTTAAAAAATAATACAGGGTGTCTATGTTTAACGTATTTAATGGTCACAGTAATAATAGTCCAGACAACGTGTGTGTAAGAATTCTGCAATCTTGTGAAAGATCAGTTATGTTATCTTTTAAAATTGTTTTCCTGAAGTCCTTAAAATTCAAATTAACCCCTCTCTGTGGAAGAAATCTACCATTTCCATTCCAAAAACTGAAAACCAACAATCACCTTTGCTTGCACATAAACTATCAAAGCACTTCCATTTAAACAGTAACTTGATAAGACGGGTCCTGGACATCTTGACAAACAGGTCTCAAAAGGTCTAATTGGGAAATCGTTATCTGCCATTCCCTACACTTCCACTGGGTCACCACTGGGCTGTGTCTTATCTCCCTCCTGTACTATTGTGCACTAAAGACTATAAGAGCACACACACAGTCTCATTAGGTTTACTGATGACATAGCCATGTTCAGCTTAATAAAAAGACCCAGAAAACCATCACAGACTCATTCTAAATGACACTAAATGGTGTGATGAGTTCTCTTTGAAGTTAAATGTCTTCAAAACAAAGAAACCAGTTATTGATTCTTGGAAAATTGTGATAGCCCTCTTACCTGCTATAATTAACAGTCAGACTGTAGACATTGTCAATGACTACAAGTAAACCTAAGATGGGATAAATGCTGTGACACCATTTATAGAAAAACAACAAAAGATACTTTTTTCTTTGGAAACTCATAAAACCATTTTCACATTATTCTATTATTCTAAGTCAGTTATTGAAAGTGAATACTTGCTGGTTTTGCAACAAGTTAAAGTTAATTGTAATAGGTTGGGAATATTAGTGAAAATAAGTGTAAAAAATATTGGAGAACATTAAATCAACTTAAATATTTTCTACATACAAAAGATCATAAAGAATGTCAAGAGCATTATGGAGTGCATGTCTCACCTCCCCCATTGTAAATTTACACTATTTCCATCTGGGAGACGCCTCTAAGTCCCCCAGTGTAAAAGTAAGACTCAGGAAATCTTTCATCCCCATTACAATATCGCTCTTCAACAATGTACAGTGAAGTAACTCTCTAATCCCCTCTAACACTACTGTACTGTCTTCTCTGTTGGTAATCATTGTCTTTATTTTTATTGTTGTGTTGGACTATGCTATAAAACAAATTTCTGCCAGAGGATAATAAAGCTTGAATTGAAGTGGAGCATGCCTTTAGTAGTTAAGAAAGTAGTTTAGAAGTAATAAGAAACTACAGTTTGAAAATAAAATTTTAAAATAAGTTTTAAATTTGATCCTAGAAAGTTTTCATTAATTGTTTTATTTCTGGATAAAATATATTACTATTATTTAATTTGTTGATTTGAAAAATACAGTAGTGCCACTGTTAAACAGAACTGGTAAAAGTCATAGTAACAGCAGAAAGGATGGCTACTTTTGACTTTGTAATACTTTTGCATCATCAAGATATACTCAAGTTCTTGTACATTTACTTTAGTAATATTCTGGAGGGGAACAGTTTAGAACAGTTCTTTTACTCAAGTAACATCTTTTAATACTTTTTATACCCCTTGTTCTTTTTTAAACAGACCTTCACTTCACTCTTAATAGGTTAAGAGTTTTTATCTTTGACAAAATATGCAAAAAGAAACCAAGAAACTGGAAGTTAAGGACACTGAACTACTCCCTCATCACCTACAGTAAGTGGGTGGTCTCTGCAGGTCAGTGTGACTGAAGAGTATGGATATAGGAAAATCTTAGCAGAAGCACTAGTGCTGTACCGGCTGTGTGAACAACAACTTCCCCTTTTTTCACTATCATTTCACCATCAATAAAAGTGAAACACCAAGCAAAAATAACAAAACACTCAGGACAATGTGTACACCGCTGAATTCATTGACTCGTCTTGGAGTTGTGTACGTGTGGACTGCTCTCAGGTGAAGTAAACTAAGGGCCTTCATATAAAATGCAAGCAGTATACCTCAGCTGAGAACGAGCAGGCAGTGGTGGACTCCTGCCATGTAGAAAGGCCTAAATGGAAGGCAGATGTGTGTGTCGAGTGAGTGTTAGGTGCAAGAATTTATCTAAGGCCAGAAACTGCCTGTGATCTCAGATTTATTGCATTTTTCCAGTTTCATCCTTTTTACAATGACCAGGGACCTTTCCCAATTGAAGATTTAAGAGAGGGAAGTCTCCCCAAATTTTCAAAGGAAGGTTTCGTTGGCTGGAAAAGGCGGTACTTTGACAAAGTTATACATGTGTGTGGGTAAGTAAGCTTATTTGTCAAATGTAACCACAATCAAAAGTGACACAAGAGCTCAGAACATGCCTTCTGTAAGGTCAAGGGAAGATGGTGTACAATTGAATGGGTAATAGACTGGGAGAGGTGGACCGTGACCAATGCTGTTGGCCATGCTTCAATTTTACTGGCGCCTTAGCTGGCCCCAAAGTGTGTTACTGCGTTTAGGTGGCAGGATGGTTCAGGAGATTGGCAGTATAAGAGGATGTGTGACTTTTTTTCTCTCTCTGTAAACGTGAAACCAGTAGTGGCTAACTAGAAAGTTATTAGACTCACATGCTGAGAAGGACAATAAATTAGGCCTTTAAAACTCGGACACACGTACCAAACCATTTTACCTACTTTAGCTACAGTTGTAATAAGGTAAAGTCGAAATGTTTTGATTCTATCTCCTGATATTGTTATTTTCAACTTTTTTAATATATCATTTTAATTTCACATATAATAAACCTCTCATTGACTATGTAGCAAATTTTTCAGTTCTTGTATAGGAAGATATTCTGTTATTGTACTGTTGAAATTAGGACACTTACCAATGTCAGTTATAATAATCTGGTATGCATGGAAGCATTCATTGAGAGAGAAAGACCGAAGCAGCACTTTGAAAACATTGCACACATGGGTTATGTAATGTAATGAAAATGAACTGACCATTGATTGTCAAAACCTTTAGGTTATGTTACTGTACATGAGTTTCTTGAGGCTTGTTCAGAAAAGATTAAGAAACATTCCAGGTATTTTTCACAATGCACATTTTCTTTTGCATAAGACCAATGACATATTCCTGTTTTTTTTTCTCCTGTTCT